ACACACACACACACACACACACACACACAGCAAGAGCAAGAAAGAGAGGGGGAGAGGGAGGGAGAGAGGGAGAGAGAGAGAAGAGAGATAGAGAGGGGGGGAGAGGCATCATTTCGTACCGTCAAAATCGAGCGACACCGCTAACCCTAATAAGTGCATTATCCGGGCGGTATCAAAACACAAAGTATTACGGCCCCGGACGCATTAGCCCCGATGAGGGGGAACGGCGTCCGAAAAAGGACCGCCAGCTTCACAACATCGTACGGTACCTTCTCTGAAAGCAAAAAAAAAAAAACAACAAAAAAAACAATAGCAAAAAAGAGTGAAGAGCGTTGTGCGAGAGAGGGGTGGATTGCAGGTCTCGAGAAGACAGACACTCGAGGCAGGCACCTTGTAAGTGTGCAAATATGGGAGGAAGAAGGACCGGTGGGTAAGAGGATGGGGATAGAAGACGGAGCAGAAACGCCCGTCTCGGCCAAACTCTCCCCGGGCCCAGAGAGAGGCCGAATTAGGCCCCGGCCTGTCCCACTGAACGGGTCGCTGCTCCAGTAATCATAAGCAATTTGGCCAGCTTGATGCGGTTTGAATATTGACCATAGCTGGAGAGGACGCAAAAAAAGCACGTTTAGAAGCAAGGTGATCGCGAAAGCGCGCCAAATCACAAACAGGGTCATGCAGGATAAAGTTATTACAGCACGCTACTTTCTGGGAATTGTGGTTAAAACCCGGCGCGATATTACCATTTCTTTTTCCTTTAAAAGCAAAGTAACGTCGTTACTGCGGCTATAGTTCTGCCTTCACAACACCACGTTGGCACAACAAAGCCATCTGAGAACAGATCTCAATAGACTAGTTCCAGAACACTTCAGAAGTCCGCAAAATGGACTTTAGAAAACAAGGTGGGTTTTCTTTTTTTCCTTCCTTTCTTTCTTTTTCTGTTTTAACGTGTCTCTTCTTCTTTTTTTTTTAAAGATGACCATGGGAAGCAATATACACCAGGGTGCAAGAAACCTCAGGGGGAAAAAACCCATCGGGAAATGGCGACAACATTACAACCCAGAAAATAGGAACCTGAATCAGATACCATGCATGCAAAAATATAATATAAACAGTCTTGACATCAAAACACACATTCATTCAGTTTTGCTTCGCTTAGTTCTGCTCTCAATTAGCGTGTGTGTTAGTTTAAACAAAATGTATCCCTTCTTCTCGTATCCTTTACTGTTTTTGAAACGCCTAGTAGCCATGTCCGTGGAAAAGCGTTAACATTATACTTTGGTTCTCCAAAGGTCAACGTCTCAAAAGACAAAATAATTTTGAAAATAAAAATGTTTCGGCAGATGTCAGGAAATACCAAAAAACGTTTTTTTCTTTTTAATCATACACTTCCTGTATGACAAAACGAATTCAATATCCGGCGGAAGACAAAATTCACATTAGTCAAAAACCAAAACAATACAAAAGCTACCGATTATAGTTTCATCAAAACTGGAGGGAACAAACATCAGCATCAGTTTAAAGACATAATTGGTGGGTGTTTTTTTCTTCTTTTTGGGGAGGGGGTGAAGGATGGTGATGGGGATAAGGGAGGGGAGGGTGGAGGGTTGGGGAAGGGGGTGGGTGAGGGAAGAGGGGAGGTGGTGGGTATCTCTATCCATCTCTCTGTAAGGGCACGTTGTATATCTCTCGGCCCAGGTTGACACTGACAGTCACGGTCGAAGCTGCCGGCTTCCTAATCGATGCAAATAGAGTTGATAGGGGTACATGTATTGATAATAATCTACTCTCCACCCACCCCCCACCCCGACACACATACACACTCATCATATACATACATACACGCGCTCGCGCACACGCACACACACTTACACTTACACTTACACACATCCACACACACACACACACACACACACTC